CTCCCCATGACACAGAGCTATCAGGGTATATTATTTATTTGTTGGTTGAGGGATATACAGAATGTCATCCACCTCACTATCCACTTGGGTGCTCCAAGGTTTTCTTTCTTATCTAGACCTCATTTGGAGGTGGCTGTGAATGTCCTAAGCCAGTGTGTACTGTGGCAATGCTGGACTGAAATGGTATCTCATATCTGTAATTGCTGGATGGGAATCTATTTTTAAAAATCTGAAGTATCCTGCAAATGCAATGTATGAAAATGATGGTACCCTGCAAATACATGGTTCCCAGTGCCGTAAGAATGCTGTATGCCCATATTGATTCCCCTTTACTCTCTATAGTCCTCTCTCTTGAGACATGTAATCCCTGAGTAGGGGATGTCAAACAGTGGAAAGCAGAGTTGGCTACCGAATTTGTGGGGCCCAGTGCAAAATGAAAATACGGGGCCCCTTAAAGTAAAGGTGTTGTTAAAAGTACTAAGATACAAGCATTTCCCTGTCTTCTTCAGTCTCTCTTTGGACCTATCATGCTGGGTTTTTTAATTTGCTATTTAATGTCACACACCTTTGGGCACAGGCACACTTGCTGGACAAGTGCAGACCTCACAGGTGCTGGTGCCTACCCTGCAGTCCACTGCCACACTAATGCACCTTGTCGTGGCTGGGGATGGGAAAGCCAGTCTCCCCTTCCCATGTGTCTGCCTTTCCAACCCAGAGCACTGGGTGACTGCCAAGGGGTTACAGCCTGTCAGAGGTGCTCAGTACCTGGATTGGGGTGAGTAAGAAGCTCTCCCCAGCCAATCCCCACCTAATGTACCATAGCACGATCAGCCTGGGGCAAAATAGCTCCTGCCATGCCTTACCCAATATGCCTCTGGGCAGCATGCCCAACCTCAACATCTGTGAATTTGTGCCCAGGCCCCTGCCAGGAGAGGAAGCTGACAGTGGTCACCAGGCGGGAGTGCGGAGAAAGAAGCTGGGTGGGATCTGTAGTGACAAAGGTCATGGGGCTGGCAGCTGCGAGCCTGTCCCAGGAGGCAATAGACGGGACCATGTACACCTAGGCATCAAGCCCCAGTATATGTTCCATTGCCCCATCAGACTTCACTTTCCATCCTCTTTTAAATGGTTTACAAATCTGTTTATTTTGAAGAGCTGTTCAGACCTTTTGGCTTTTTCTGTGCCTGCAAGGGTATTTTACTAAGAAAGTTAAGATAAAGCACACAGATGATTCTTTGCCTGTTGATATTTTCACTCACAATGCTATTTAGACCTTAAGAAAGGTAAAGCACTCTTTCCTTTCCTTTCAACTACTGTACTCTGTACTGGTATATCCAGCACCATGAAGCTCTGAGGCCTTCTCTATTCACTGAAACAGGAGAGCAGACAGGTACAGTACAAGGAAGTAGACGAGTTTTGTTTTGTTTTGTTTAATAGCTGGCTCTAGAATTCTTTTAAGATGATGGTCTGTCAAGGAAAAAAATATTTTCAAAGCTGCCTGGGGTAGAAGGTGAAACATAAATGTTACTTGCTGAAGTGCTAAAAGTTGCTTGCTTGCTGAATTGAAGTGCATGAAACAAAGAGAAATTTGTCTTGCTGGAAGTGGGAATGAAAATGTGTAACAGAAAGGGATTCTCCCCAAGATGACAGAAAGCTCTATGCTCTGGGTGACCTTTCCGTCTCTGGGAGATTCAAATTTACAGAATGTGGGATAATTTTTTTTTTCTGGGGTGAAAATACAGAGTCTTGAAAATAAAAATCAGCACACTTCTCATTCCCAGTAATTCTTGTCCTTTAGCTTCACTGCTTCAGGGAAAATGCAAATAATGCTGAGAACAAAGAAGTCTTTGCTTAGCTTTACTTTCAAAGTAGACCAAAGACAGGAAAAAGAGTGCAGTAGAAACAATAATCTGGAAAGCAAGGCTTTCACTTGCAAGAGCCAGGCTAGTTCAGAAAGGAAAGGAAAAAAAGCCTTGTGATTCTAAGAAGCTGAGAAACTACTAAGGACTGAAGGGGTTCAGGTTATGCCCCCAAAACATGCCTCTTTGGCATAAGGATTATCTGAGCTGAAGGCAACTGAGAATCAACAGATGCAGGAAGTGTTCTCTGTTCTCCTCTTGCTTGCCTAAAAGTAAGGAATAAATTTCCCTTGTAAAGGTAGCATCCCATAACTGAACTCAGGTCTGGCTATTCACAGTTTCAAAAGCCTGACACATGAGAGGCGAGGTGTGGTGAAAGGAAAGCAGCTTTAATAAAATGCTAGCAGTTGAGGAGATGCCCGGACTCAAGCCTCAAAACGATACCTCAAATTTTAAGGGGCTGACTGAAGGGATTTACAAAGGGGAAACCTCGTATGGGAAACATGGAGGAATTGTGGAAATAATGTCTGCATGCCAAACATGCAGGTCTGCCGGTCGTGTTCTGATGGCTATCTTGAGTTATTGTCCACCTGGAGAACTCGCCGGTGCCATCTTGACTGTGACAGGTTGTAGATTAACCACCTTGAGGTAATCCGCAGCTGGGTCTCCAGGCCTGGGCTGTTTCAAGATTAGCCCCTGGAATTTCTAAGCAATCATATAGTTAGACAAGTACGTATATGTTGGTCATAGGATCATGGTATAAGGGAGTGTCCAGGGGGAAGGAGAGAAATAAACGGAAAAACAAAAGCAAAAACAAAAAACCTTTTAAATGCACTTTAAGACTATTGGGAAGGGCTTTAAAATACATTTTAAACCTGAGACTCTCAGTTACAACTCCCCACTGTCAAGTTCCATTCCATTTCTATGGAAAGCGGATGATGTGCTCCATCTAGCTACTTCCTGCTGAAACATGCAGTTAAGGGGCAGTGGAATGGAACCTCACCACTTGGAGTGGAAAATACTTTTGAGTCCATTGGCTCACAGAGAGATCTGCTAGAGCATCATGGTGAGTATGTAACAGCAATATGGTCTACAGCAGAAGAATAAACCTTCCCTTTAATCATGGCTGAAATTATGAGCAACTTTTTTTCACCAGGAGCGGCCTGATCCAAACCATGAGGAGAGTCACTGACTTAAGACATTGTGGGGTAAGACATAGCATTAATTTGCTTGTGCATGTCTTATAGGGCTGAGGATTTGTTTCCAGAATTATCTAGGATGTACACACACTACTCAGTCTTAATTATAGTGCACGCTTCCCACTATCAATTGTGCTTGAAGCTCCTATGGAAATATGACAACAGGTTGGGCTAAATGTACATATTTAACAGGTTGCAGGAGGGACTATGAATATTCATGAAGGTGGTCCTGACACATGTGCATTGAACAAATATGCACATAACATCTGACTCATGTTCATTTTGGGGTGAGACTTAATATTTAGATGCAATAAAATTAGGCCCTATACATTAAAAGGTCTTTTCAGGGCAGAAAGGCCCGCAAGTGTGCAATTTCTGTAAACCAGCTACAACTAGTCCCTGGTCAGTGGTCTTTTATCAGGTGAAAGTTATTAAAGTCAGGCTTGTGTCTAATTAAATCTTATTTATAGCTCGTGGAACAGGGGCTGGGGGCCAGTTAGCTTGAGGCCAGTGCCTGTCTAACTGCTAGAGAAAAAGAAAACCCTTGTGGCAGCTAGAAGACAGCTTACTCTTTAAGTGTAAGGATGTCACTTAACCCTTGCCTGCATGGTCTTAGGTCCTGTTTATAATTTGGTATTTTGCTATTACAGGAGTCTGTTTTTTCAATCTTATAATCTTTATAAGAGATTTTGTTTTGTTTTTACTGATGGGCCCCTGTGGTGACTGACAGCTGTAGTCCTTGGAGTCCGGGGAACTCAGTGCTGCTTGCACACCTAGGCATACACCCCAGCCAGCATTCCCGGAGATAGGTCAATGCTCTGGATCTCAAGAGATGCCTGGCCTTCCTGGGGGTCTACATAGAGTCTCTGTGAGAGAAGAGCTCCAGAGGCAAGCCTGGAGACCAGGGGTTCTCAATGAACAGCTGTGGGACTGCTTAATAGTTGGTGTTTATGACTGCCTGGAATGTGACTGCTTATCTTTCCACCCTTTCACATATGGAGAAACAGGTTCAGAGAGGTCCAGTATGCTGCCAAGGTTATCTATAGAAGAGTGGAGAAGCTGAAGTTTGCATTCCAATCAGTTAACCTTCAACAACCCTACTCCTTCTGCTTGGCTAGTGTTTTTAAAGTCTGCAGATGAGGTATGCAAAATTGATTTTAGGTTTTAGTTTGCAAGTTTAAAAATAAGAATTCTTATGTTTAACCTGAATTAGACAAAGATGGCAGTTGGCACATGAGACCTGTAATTCTGTAGATATTAACATGTATAGTATGTATATTTTAAAAAAAAACACATTAATTTGTGAAAATATGAAGGTGATAGGTGAACACAGCCCTCCTGAATAAGTCTAATTTTGGAGGTGCAGGGTCCTCCTTTGATTTCTAGTACTGTGTGTTCTGACCCTGTGACTTGAGTATCTTTGTCCTGCTTCATATCTGCCGTGCCACTCAGTCCACCACAATTCTTCCTAAATCCAGAAAATTCATGAAGTGACTGCACGACTGTCTGAAGACTGAAAACAAAGAATCCCAGGACAATAGCTACTATATCATTCTGCTTGAATTGCCTGTGGCTTCTTTGGCCCTGCCAACTCTATATTTATTTAGCACCCAGTTCTCCAACCAACCCCTTTGAGACTGAATTACGAAATAGCATTCACTGTGCAGTTTTGTAAGAAAAGCATGCTGTTAGTTACCAAATACTTTGCCCATTTGTTCTGAGTTCTGTTAGTCTCTCAGTTCCTCTGAAAAGCATATGCATTTTAAAAATTAACCAATAGTCAAAATTATTAACCAACAGTCAGAATGTGTAGGTATTTCCTTTAAGGTGCAGAGTCAAAATGAGAGTACACGTCTGCTTTTCCAACTTGGGTACATATAAGGGGCATGCAATTAACCAAGATAACCACAATGTGTCTTTCTAGAAGGACTATTACAATATCTCAAGGAGGAGAAGATTTTATTACAATGAAACATGGAATGAGAATGCACAATTCATATTAGGATTAATGATAAAACATGAGACTAAACCAGTTCAGTGTCATGATTGAAGAAAGTTTTTGTTAGCAAAGAGCAATGCAGAAATGCAAAGCAGTGTTCAAATATAAGTCATTACCATTATTAAGTTTCAGAATCCTTAGTCTCCAGGAAACCAAATAGCCTCAGGACTTATCCTGCAGGGTTCTATTCCCTCAAGGCTATCAGGTAGGTCACATTAATTGTGTAAATTGAGGAAAGTGTTTTAATAATGATGTATGAATTCTCCAAAAATGTATATTCTTAGAGGTCTTCTGAAAAAGGTGTTCTAGAATCCAGAACCACAGCTCAAAAGGCACTGATAATAATCCTCATGAAAGAAAAATCAGAAGCGGGCTAAATGATAAGCTCCTTATATATAGCTGGGCCCAAATACTATAACCACCGTCTTCTAAGACATTTCTTTTGCTTTTTCTACTGATCCTATATTACTTTAGTTTGATAAAATATTCCAAGTGTCCTGCTTACTGCGATCTTATCTACTGTAAAGGTGTTTTATTACTTTGTTAAATTATGCCAATATTAGTAAGATTTTCTTTTATGAATAAAGCCAACTTCTATTTATTTTATTAGCAAAGTGCTAACAGACCTGGACCAACGAAATTACAATTCCATTTCCATTTCGTATATAACTCCATCTAAGATGTCTTAAATGCCTGCATACATCACAAAGCCTAACGGGGTGGTAAGTGATTTTTCAATTAGAGTAACCCTTCAGTTTTCAATGCAAGAAATCATTATTGTATTTCCTCTGAAACTAATTACTTGTATCTCTTTTATCTCACTTCCTTGGAAGGGTTTCCTAATGCAGCAGCCCCACTTTGAGTCATATATTGGATCGGTTTTGCCTACTACCAAACCTCGATTTCCACAATGGCAGTAATAGCTAACATTCAGTGTTATTCTGAGCTAGGCCCTATTATAAGCCCCTATTATTTAAAATCCACATGCCAACTCATTTACTCCTCACAGAACTCTCTGAGACAGGTATTAGTTGTATTAACAGATAGGGGTTTAAGTAATTTGCCCATGGTCACACAGCAGCTGCACTCTACAATGCCTCTCTCGTGTTTTACTTAATGTTAGTCCACTGTTCGTGTACTGGTTCCACAAATTAGAGGTATGCTTATATTCTCAGCATTTGTTTTCACAAAAAATGCTACATGAAAGCAAATGACATACATACTTTGTAAGCTTTCAAGTGTTACATAAAAGTCGGAAACTTATTAAAGAGAAAACTACCGGCATCTATAAAGAACCCAAAAGACATATGATAAAATGTTAACTCTTACTTCTCCTTATTGCAATGGTTTGGGAACTGAAATCTATTTTCCTGGAACAGGAATGGCATTCTTCCCACAACTATTTAAGAACTCTCCCTCTTATCAGATGGAAAAAAAAAACTGAAGTACAAATCCTTTTTCTGGGACTTTTAAATCATACTTCTCTTCCTTTACTATACTCAAGAGATGGCTGATCTGAATTGCCAATTGCCCAAATACTGCTAGTACAGAAATGCAGTATTTAAGGCTTTAGACTATTTTCCTCTGTTGTCTGCAGTCGCAGTGAAATACTTCAAGCACAATTTTTGCTGAACTCTTCTGATTTTCAGCAGTGGAAAAGCTGTGAAATGGGAACTTACCCCCAACATATTTCAATTTGGAAGTTCAACTTCAAAGCAAGCCATAAAAATGTAAGTTTTATTGAGTGCCTATAGTGTGCATGGGCCTTTATTAGACACACTGAATTCAGGCACAACAGACACAAGATCCCTGGCCTTGGGTACCTTATGATCTAATTAGTACAATACATATTAGAAACCGTAAAAAGACAAGTTACATGTCAATGCCCCATGATTAGAGTCAACATTAAAGAGCTGTATTAAAGTAATCCAAACTGACATCTAATCCTAAAATCATTTATAAAATGTATTTGGCTTTGGAATCCACAGGACTTCAAACAAGAAAAGTTTCACTGCAGATACAGTCACAAAGATGCAAATACACTGAGCCTTATTAATGATTTTTGCTATTTTGGATCTTCTGTTTTTTTCTTATCATGGTCCGAAGCCTCCTTAATACCAATTTATCAGACAGAAGCATGTCGTCTTGTTGTTCAAGATAATCTAGTAAATTTTCAGTCCATTCAAGTGCAGCTTTATGGCTAATATGCTTCTCTGGATTCAGTTCTGTTTTTCTACTCTTACTGGAAGGCTTTTGCTCAGCAGCCTTGGTCTGGTCCTCAGCACTTTCACTGTCAATCATCACCTGACAGCTTGAGTCACTGCTCCGAGAGTCAAACCACTGATCAATATTCTCAATGTCAACGTGTTCACATTCTTCTGTGTTCTGTAAAACTGTTGCTAAATTGGCTGCTAAAATGGCTCCTTCATCGATGTTCATACCTGAATTCTCTTCACTGCCAGGGAAAAGTTTTTTCCATGCTTTGGTTATGGTACTTGATTTTACCATGTTCCAAGCTCTTGACACTTCATAAATTGCATCCAACACTGTCAAGTTCTTCCAAAATATTTTTGGGTCAATTCCTTCATCCATGTATTTCTGGAGAAGTCCTGCTCGGTAGTATCTTTTTACAGTGGCTAGAACTCCCTGGCTCATTGGTTGAATCAGACTTGTGACATTTGGTGGCAAATACTTCACAATAATTCTGCCATCATCTGAGCTCAACATTTCTTCATGTGGATGTGCTGGGGGAAAATCTAAAAGAAGCACTGCTTTTTCTAAGAGTCCCTTGGATTTCAAATGCTTCTGCACCTGTGGCACAAAGTACTTTTCAAACCACTGTCTGAAAACAGATTGTTCTATCCATGCACCTTTTTGACTGTAATATGTCACAGGAAGGTTTGAAAGATCAGTGCCTTTGAATGCTCGGGGCTTTTTGGCCTTCCCCACAACACAAAGGTTAAGTTTGTGTAAACCTGTGGCATTTGCACAACACATAATAATGATTCTCTCTCTGCTTGACCTACACCCAGAAGTACTTTGCTCAGTTTCAAGAGTTAATGTCCTTGATGGTAGACATTTCCAGAACAATCCAGTTTGATCAGCACCATAAATTTGCTCTGGTTGTAGGTTCTCTCTTTCAACAAATTCCTGAAAATTACCACAAAATTCACTGGCTGCAGTTTCATCTCCTTTTAGTTTTGTTCCTTTACCAGCAGCCTTTGGAATGCCATGGCGCTGTTTAAATCGAGTTAGCCAGCCTGATGATGCATTAAAATCACCTTCCATGCCCAAAGCATCAAAAAAGAACTTGGCTTGTTTTGCACAAATCGTTCCGGACACTGGAATCCCATCTGTTTTCTGTTGGTTAAACCACTCTATCATAACTCTATCAAGTTCCTCATATGTTGATGACTTCATAGATTTACGTTTGGATACCCCACTGGTAGGATCTGAACTGTTTGCGTAGTTTATAATCCTTTCTTTGTTCTTTTTAATATCACGAACTGTGGATTCACCAATTCCATACACCACAGAAAGTTTTTTGAAAGAGATGCCTTCCTCAAGTTTCTTAATAATGTCAAGCTTGTCCTTAATTGTCAACACCACACGCTTACGTTTCCCCAACATTTTAGGTGTCTATTTTAGGTGATAACTAGAACAAGACAATTAGCAACTAAGATTTGAATACAAAGCGACTACAAAATGAGGTTGAAAGATTCCTCCTCTCACTTCTAGGACCTAGATGGATACTGCAGTGACCAATTTCCTGACCAGGTCTACATGAATGTTTACTTGCTGTTTTAAAACTTACAAACTTTCTACAACAAAGCCTAGCTCCAATGAACTCTTTTCTTCCTTCCTCTTCACTTAGGGTTTAGGTTCTTTTGTGAATTGCAATCACACTGGAGGTCAGAAACTGAACAGTTTCTAAACAGTACTACTGCATACTCAATTCTTGCTATCCTTGCAGGTAATGTTCTTTGCTAAATCTGCCACTAAATCTCAGGTGGAAGTATTTTAGGAAATGTGCTAGGGAGTAAACAGTTTAAGTCAAGAGAGGACTTGTAAACTTGACATACAGGAAAATACAATGGGAAAACTCACCCTCTGTCTATGTGGTCTTTGTCAAGCAGTGGATTGTATGGAATGCTGTCTCTCTAGGCAAGGACTCTGCTATAGGTTGCGCAAGTGAGTGCTTGTGGAAATCATAAGCAAGAGATGACCCGGACGGAAGTGAGCGGTGCAAATAAGGTGAAAGTGGAACAGGCAGAAAACTCTCTACTTTAAAAGCGACTTAAACCTACTGCATTTGGCAGCGGGAAAGGAGGATAGTGGACATGTGATGCAACATTACTAAAGAAAGCATCAATAAACTGCATCGGTGGAAATTAGGACCCAAGGTAGAGGCTATGGGGTGGAAGGCTCCGTGAAGATGATGTTACAATAATCCCGGTGAAAGACGATCCTCGGTGGGCCAACAGAAGTAGTTCCTGCGGGGGTTGTATAGGCACTCAGAGTCTCCGAAACCTAAAGGAAAATACCAAAAACATTTTCCTTCAATTCAACATCAGGATCTGTGGCATTATCCACATCTATCCTGCAACTATCTTGAGAAAATTAACGCCTCCTATCAATGTGACAGCTAAATACGACAAATAATGCTTTTAGGCATAATCTGGGGTGACAGAGAGAGGGACCTAAAGAGCCTACCTCCTGAAATTAAGAGGTCAGAGAGAAGCCGTGTTAGCGAGGGCCTCTCCCCGCTGGGCGAGCTCCAGAGCGCGGGACGTCTTTCCTCCCGCGGAGGGAGCCCGGATTCCGCCCGGACGCAGGCGACCAGGGTGTCACTGCCGCAGCCAGCCAGCCAGCGGGCGGCCGCTTGGCGCAGGGAACGCCAGTCCGCCGGCACCGGGCATCGCCCTGCGCCCGCGTGCGCGGCGCCCAGACCGCACTAAAAGCAAATGGAGTCCCCGAAGGGAGGCTGGCACTGGTGGCGCGGCGGCGGCGGCGGCGAGGGACGGCGGCGAGAAACGAGCGTCGCCGCCGGAGCCGGAAGGCGGGGGATTAGAGTGCACGCGCGCGCCCCCGCAGAACGTTGTGCCGGCGAGGGGGCGGGGCCTGCCCGGGTGAGTGCACGCGGCCCGGGGGCGGGGACTCCGGCGAGCGCGCGGGAGGGGCGGGGCCCGGCAGAGGAAAGTCTGTGGGCGCCGCTTGGGTTTCCCTCAGCGCCTGGCTGTTTCGGGGCCCGACTGCCTCTCCGGCCGGCAGGGGGCGGCACACGCTCTCCTTGTCCTGGCGCTTTTCCCAGTGGCTCGGCTCTGCGGGCGAGGCTCTTTTCTCACCAAGGGGAAATTTTAGAATCTCACCCCCAGAGGGCTGGGTGGGAAAGCGGAGGATCCTCTAGTCCCGTGAGCCGGCTGCGAATGGGGCAGGGCGAGCGCACGTGGGGCGTGTTTACAAACAGCAGCCGCGCCGCCGTGCGGAGGCGGCCGTGGTGTCGGAGCCCAGCGTCAGCGCGCGTGGACAGTGAGAGCCCGAGCGAGGATCATGAATCACGGTAGGAGCCAGCGGACGTGGGTTCGGGGCAGGAGCTGGGGCGTTCACTCTGCAACACCCAGTCTGGGAAGCCCAGGGTGCAGCGGGCGGCGGTCCCTGGTGCTGATGCTCCGGGACTCGTCACAGTCGCTGTAGAGACGCACCCTTTGCAAAATGGACAGCACCTGGGGAGGCGCCGTGGTTAATTTCCTGCGGCGCCTCCATGCCCGCGACTTCTCAAGTGGAATCAGGGAATTCCTCTTTGACCGAGATTCCCATTATTTGTTTCCAATGGAGACACCTGCGGAACGGTCAGCGCCTTCCCGGAGGAGGGTGGGGCGCATCGCCACCTTGCAGCACCTGTTTCCTGGGAAACGCGGTCGGGCTGCCTTCCTTTCCGTCTTGTGTGTGCGTGTAACAGTTTGAAAAATTGAAAATTCCTCAGTGAAGCGTCTCTCCCGTCTGAACATGAATGTAACCTTTTCGTTAACACAAAGTAACGTAGTAATTCGTCATTTCTTTGACAAGGCCATATACTGTTTCTGAAATTTCAGAAACTTGGAGATGGAAATCAAAGCGAGCATACTGTAGAAAACAGATGTTGATTCTAAGCCTTCTGTTGGTTTCCGCCGCCAAAACTGCTCAATTGCCTTTCTCAGCATAGCAGCCTTCCACTATCTGGCATGACAGAAAATTATTTGATCTAGTTATGTTGTGAGGTTGTAAGTGGCTTTTGGCAAATACCTGCTCTCTTCCAAGGTAGACTTCCCCTCTTCCCTGCTCTCCATTTGGCTTCCAGTCAGCCCCTTTCTGGCAATCCTAGTTGACTATTTTGGGTAGATTATAACTTACTTCATTGTAGTTTACTATAACTTTAAAAAATATTCTCCTTTTCCCTGATACTTGTAGAGTGTGAAACACTTGAGTCTGCTAGAACAGCACTTTAACCAAGTGCCGTCCATGTGGAAATGAAGCAGCCTGTAACCAGATATCAGCTGCTTGCCTTTCTCCCTCTCCCTGCAGTCTACTGGGGTCTCTCTGTCCCAGGATATTTAAATACAAAGGAATTCTGCCTCTTAGTCTTCCCCTTTTCCACAATATCTCTAGGGTTTAATTTTCTCCCAGATACCACTTGCATTTTTCTGTTTCTCCTGGATTCTTCAGTTTGCTGTTTTATGTCTTGCAGCTGTTCCCTTTATATCACCTTGTGTAAGTTCAAATCTGGATACAGCCCACATTTCTTGATTTTCTCAAATTGCCACTTCACTCAAGGCAATTGTATTTAGTAGACTTTTAGTAAGATTTTACTCAAGGCAATTGTGTCTTTACACAAAACAATTTTATTGGGTAAACTTTCTCCTTTTGTTGGGGGAAAGGGTGGCTAATTGGTGCAGACATTACAGCCTAAGGGGGAGAGGACTTAGAATGTTAAGAATATGTATATGTATGCATGTGTATATACACATATACATGTATACATATATAGGAACATATATGTATACACACACATATATGTATTTTAGACAGGGTCTCTCTCTGCCCAGGCTGGAGTGCAGTGGCGGGACCATGGCTTGGGCTCTCTGCAGCTGCAAGCTTCTAGGTGTGGCGATCCTCTTGCTGCAGCCTTCCTAGTAGCCGAGACTACAAGCTACAGGTGAATGCCACCACGCTCAGGTAATTTTTGTATTTTTTGTAGAGATGAGGCCTCGCTGTGTTGCCAGAGCTGGTCTCAAACCCCTGAGCTCAAGTGATCCTTGGCCTTCCAAGTGCTGGGATTATAGGCATGTGCCATCCTGCCTGGTCAAGGATAGATTCTTAAGGTGGTGAAACTACTCTATACAAATATAATGGTGGGTACATGTCATTAAACTTTTGTTCAGACGCACAGAATGTGCAACACCAAGAGTGAAACCTAATGGAAACTGTGGACTCTGTGATAAAAATGTTTCAAGGTAGGCTCATCAATTGTAACTGATGTCGCACTCTGGTGGGCAGTATTGATAATGGGGAGGTTATGGATGTGTAGGGGCAGGGATTATATGGGAAATCTCCCTGTCTTCTGTGGAATTTTGCTGTGAACCTAAAACTGTTCTAAAAAAATAAAGCCTGTTTCTTAAAAATGTAGGCACAAAAAATGAGAATGTTGGGCGCCTAAGGCAACTTACACTTTCTCATCTACTATACTTTCAGCACAGCACACCCCAAGAAGTTCTCCACTGGACACCACTGGGTATTCTATAATTCACTTCAATTCTGATACCATCTACCTGGAGTGTCCCTCCAGGTTCAGATGCCAATTGCAAATAGTAGGTTGTTGTCAGGTTCCAACCCAGGCCAGGGTCTGAGGGGAGTTGGTAGGTGGGTGACAGGTAGTTGAAAGAACCCTTGGGGGACTGTAAGCAGTTGAGATATACCTTTATTCTCTCTTTGTCAGCCTTTGTCTTGGCCACCTGTTCCAGCCGCAGCCCCTCTCAGCACCAGCTCTGGAGCTTCTGCCACCCCCATGCGTGTAGCTGAACTCCCCGGTGTGCCCACCGCTTGCTGGCTCCCCTCCCAGCCAACTGAGAGATTGCCTTGCTCTCTTTTACAGAGTTAGCAGGGCAGTGATATTACTCGCAGACGATACTGGCTTAAAGCCAGGTGATGAGCCCACCCATAAGTTACATAATGCACGGGATTGTGTACCTGCGCCCCAGTCCCGCTGTGTCATGCAGCACCAGATGTTTACCTTGGCCAACTCTTGACTGCAGTGCAGCTGTTTCCCTTACACTCCACCCGCTAGGCCAAGGGAGTCCTCTTAGAGGAGAAATGTGCCCATAGGGCAGCACCATGACCCACAGGCCACAGCAGCAGTGCATATGTCCCTCAGAGGAGGGTTCCTTCCTAGGCCATTCCCCTACAAACGGGCAATCACAGAGGCTGTATTAGTCCGTGTTCACACTGCTGATAAAGACATACCCGAGACTGGGAAGAATAAGAGGTTTAATTGGACTTAGATTTCCAAATGGCTGGAGAGGCCCCAGAACCATGGTGGGAGGCAAAAGGCACTTCTTACATGGTGGCAGCAAGAGAAAATGAGAGAGAAGCAAAAGCAGAAACCATTGATAAACCCATCAGATCTCATGAGACTTACTCACTATCACTAGGATAGCATGGGGTAAGACTGGCCCCCGTGATACAATTATCTTCCCGGGTCCTTCCCATGACACATGGGAATTCTGAGAGATACAGTTCAAGTTGCGATTTGGGTGGGAACACAACCAAACCATAGCAGAGGCCATACATTAAATACCCAAGCCCTACCCCCAGGGGTCTGCGATCGCCAACCATCTGCAATGGGTGGCTTGGAGGGTCCATGGCCAAAGCCAGGTATTTGTTCACCCTCCTTTGCTAAAGTGGATGTCTGTGCCATCCCAGTCTGGGGGGTCATTACCCATGAACATGTCTACCCCACTATTGGGTAAGTCATCTGCATGATGACTGTAGCCCGTCCCGTCAAACTCATAATCCTGAAGGGCGGCACATGCAGCTGCTAACTGCTTCTCTATCAATGAATACTGGAGCTCAGCTCCCGTCCAAAGTTGGAACCAAAAGCCTACTGGCATTCTAAAGCACCCCATGTGCTGCCAAAGGCCCCCGCAAAATCATCTGTGGTCATATGCACTTTGAGTTCAAATGGGCACCCCTGGTTAATCACTTGTAGGGCCTGTGCTTTGCTGAAGAGCCTGGTTGGCTGCCAGAAAGGCTGTCTCAGCCTCATTATCCCAATCCCAGGTAGCCCCCTTTTTTGTCAGCCAGTACAACAGTTTTATCATCTGAGCCAAATGGGTCACAAATACCCGCCAATACCCCAAGAAGCCCTGAAAAGTCTGCAGCTGCATCACTGTGGTGGGCTGAGGACATGCCTGAATTTCGTCTATGATGGCCTCTGGTATGGCTTTTGTCTTACCCAACCAGGTAACTCTTAAGAATTGGGCAGTCAATCCAGGCCCTGGGATCTTGGATTCATTGACGGCCCAACTGCATGCTGCCAAATGTCAGAAGCGAGGCGCTGGCACTTCTAAATCTGCAAGAGGATCAGAGGTTAGCATGATATCATCAGTATAATGGAATAGGACATCAATATAATGGAATAGATTTGGACATTTCCAGGTGGCTAAATCCGTGGCAACGAGACCATGGCTATCGGTGGGACTGTGCACATAGTCCTGCAGCAACACTGGGAAAGTCCATTGTCATCCTTCCCATGTGAAGGTGAGCTGTTCCTGGCTCTCCAGAGCAGAGTCAATTGAGAAGAATGCATTGGCCACATCCACCACGTAGTGGTACTGTCCCAATTCCATTGTCAAGTGGTCCATCAAATCTGTGATAAATGGCACAGCTGCCAAGCCATGTAAAATATCCACCCCCAGAATATATTCAGGTATGGGAGAGATATACACAGTGTATAAACAGGGAGCCAAGTAGCTGATGCAAGGCCCAAAGATACAGGTTTCGCTTTCACTGACCAGCCTCCATAGCCATTTATGTATGCAGCCTTACCTGGAAACGTATCTGGGCTCCA